ACTTTTTGAGTTAAGCTGGACTAAATAGTATATGTGTTTGTTGACAGAAGTGACCGAGTGAGATACCAACAATATCACGGCAGGGGACACCAGAAATGGGCTTCACATATTGTAGCCATTTAGGGACTGGAACCCGGGTCTTCGTCATGCCGAGCGAACGCTTTAACCTCTAGGCTACTCCAACCCCCGCGACAGAAGTGAAGGATTTTTTAATACATGAAGCAATAATGTTAGGATGTTGCTATTGTTTGTTGTTTAACGACGCACTCAGGAGGTATCCAGCTATATGACGGCGGTCACTAAATAATCGAGTCTGGACCAGACAATCCAGTGATTGACATCATGAGCATCGATACTCACATGTTATACAATGACATGTACCAACCACGCTAGGATTCTTTTGAAAAATAAATCATTTTCTCAGAAACAATTAATTATGCTTCAGACTGTTGAAATAGTATTTTTTAGAAACTGGCTGACACCAATATTGCATTGTTCTAAGGTGTGTTTTAGAAAAAATAATATTTAGGCTCATAGTTCTAATTAAATAAATATCTGGTTTTGCAGCTGTAACTGATAAAACATCTTGTCTCCATACAAAAATCCAAGCCCCCCCCCCCCCCGCGACACGTGACGTCATATCGTATAATGACCATGATGTGGTAAATTTGTGGTAACATAAAGAAATTCTTCCAAAAAAGGAAGTTAGGGTGTACGTGCAAATCCGGCAAAGCGAGTCAGTGAAACAGGGGCCTTCAGATTTAGTCAGAAATTGATCATTTTGCTTTGAAACCATGCTCTTGACCCAAGGTCATGGCTTGTTACATCCTTGGAATGGGGCATAAATTAGAAAAGTTGTGTATGGCAATTTAATAATAAGAATAGTAGGTCAGTGTGACTTTCTTCCAGTGTCTGTCTATTACCTGTTGCTGTAACTGTCTGGTCTCCTGATACCTAGGTTCATCCTGGTGACAGAGATAAACAGGATCGAGATAGAGTTACCTCACAATACACAGGCTTCTATACAGCAGTAACAGGCGACTAACGGGATGGGGGGTCAGGCTTGGTTGATGCATATCATCGTATCCCAATTGCGTGGATCGATGCTCTGATGTCAATCACAACAATCCGTTAGGGAAACGATAAGCAGAAAATAAGGGACAAATTCGTTAGGCTGCAGTTACTTCCCTTGCATTGCTCCGCGTGAAATTTAGCCTTCTCAAAAGGATTTTACTAACTATTCAGCAGGTATCAGACTCGGTGACTTAGTATCAGGTACCCAACGGTGTGGAACGTTGATCATAATATCAACCACGATCTCTTTTGAAACTCGAATTTTTTCAAGCTGCCATGATCTAGCTTGACTTGTGCTGCATCAACCTAAATCAACAAAAACAGATTCAGTCTAAAAATGTGATTGATTACATTACTTCCAGCTCCACCCGTGAAGATCCGGGTTAGAATAGGTCTTCAGAAACCCATGGTTGTCGTAAGAGGCCACTGACGGGATCGGGTGGTCAGGCTCGCTGACTTGGTTAATGCATGTCATCGATGCTCATGACTTCAATCATTGGATTGTCTGATTATTTACAGACCACCGTTATATAGCTGGAATGTTGCGGACTGCGTTGTTCAACAACAGACACACAAACAAAGAAACAAACTTCCCGCTGTTTATACTCCAGGTGAAGGTTGGCTGAGGTTGTAAGAAATAACTATAATAATACTATGTTTTTCTTGCCGTTTCTCCCTAAACGGCGTTGAACCACCTCACTCACACTTGAACATGCTTACTATACTGTAGTAAAACAATTTACGTATCACCATGCTATCCCGGACGGTCTGACCCGACCAGTTTTCTCCAATAGGAGCCGCGTGTTACCGTCGAGTGTGAATGAGTGAGTTGGGTTTAACGCCGATTTTAACAGTATTCCAGTTATATCGCGGCGTGTCAGCTTAATGTGGAAGAAAAGTCCGAAGTGATGCAGGTCTCAGACATTTACCACTTCGGTGAAACCCATGGTGCTGACAAACCTGGAAACATAATCGGGGCGAACCGGGATTCGAACCAACAATCATAGGTTTCTGGCGTGCCCAAGGGACGCAACTCTGCACAGCGATGTTACCATCGAGACAAGCATAAAGGGATTTGATAAGATTATGCAAAATAACTTAATACAATTATGCAAAAAAAGCTCTGTAAACTTGAAAATGTCTAAAAGCCAAAATATATTTTGAAAGAAAAGCGTTTCATTCATACCAATGCATTCAACGCCAACACGCACGCGGATTGATAATAATTTACTTCTTCAGTGCAGTCTAAGCACGCAAAACCCATACATAATTGACGCTACCGCTTCCAGTCTACAGATCATCACCCTGCATGCGTCAACATCGCCTTGAGATGCACACCGCGTGTACCAAAACACGTTATCGCATTTTCTTCATCCCGCACGATGCCAGTGAAGAGCTCTTGTGGCAGTTAACAATTTATCACTGGCACAGGGTAAAGCCTACCTTCATTGATGGGAGTAAGTCTTGTGTGGAGATAGCAACACCACGACTCACGGGGTCTGTCAGTGGGAGATTTATGTGCTAGAACCTGTAAATAGCATTACGGTGCCAAGCCAAACACTGGAACAGGCACGTTCAATAGACGTTCTGTAGGCGTATTTGGTACGGTCCGCAGAGTTCAATGGAAAGGTTCTCTCTTGGGGATGTATTGTGAACTAAGGTTGGGGAAAACAAAATAGGTGAAGGGATTACTGACGACAAACTTATTAAAACTTCATTGCATATCACATTCAACATCATCTCAAGTGAGTAAATACATGGTTGTGGAACTGCTTTAAGTCAATTGTGAGTGGTAGCATATTAATAGACTGGAAGTCCTAGAGAAACACGTAACTCAGGTACGTCACAATGTACGTACGCACAATATCTTGATAAAACGCATCTCACCATCTCGCATCTGATTAAACAGATCTTATAATAGTGCTCGCAAACGCTACTCAAAGATCTGGAGACATTGCACAACAGGTCAAGTCAGAACGACCTTTCATTCGACCAATCAGAACGTCGCTTACGAGATCGCGGAAGAAAAAGTCAAAATGTGTTTTTCTAATCAGGCAACCTCGAAAAGTTTAACACGGACAATTACGGGCTGAATCCGACTGTGCGACTGTTTCCGTCAAAATCACCGTCTCTCTCTCGCTTCAATTGGATAAACATCTGAAACAGAAGAGATTTCCAAAGCCCGTGGGACGTATCGCCATACAATCTCGCCCAGAACTTTCTTTGGTTCGGTTTTCAACTTTTTAATCGATTTTTTTTTCAAAATATTTGTTTCAAGCCCAGTCTGGAATGGAAGTCGCCATTTTGAAACTACTGACATAAAGCTCAAGAGTGCTACTTTCTGATTGGCTAATGTCGGCTTCCTCTAAGTCATTTCATTGATCGGTCAAAATTCGCGAAATGTCGTTGTGTATTGGTAGCGGGCACTAACATATGATAATAATGAGATTGCGCATCTCACCAAACAAACCATTAATCGAGTAAACATTATGTTATCCCTTGGGTTTTTGTTACAGAAACCCGACATCCAAGATGTTTGTGTGACATGGCTGCTTCACAGACCATTCGTTGCGTCAAAGGCCCGCGCCATCTCCACATCGGTACAATGTGTAACAGAATGCTATGGCTGACATGTTGCTGATAGCGCCCTAAAACTAGACTCGGTCACATCAGTTGAATTATATGTATAGAATAACAGTGTGTTGTGGGTTTTTTTATAAAAGAAACCCAGTAATATCTGAAAGAATGTTCACATCTTGTTCATGCCGCATTCTCAATTTTGCAACCTGCGTGGCAATGAAAACAGAAATTAAGGGGATACATACTGAATTTGGAACAAACAAATATGTATTATGCTTGTTGCTTTTTTGCTGTTTAACGCCGCACTCAGCAATATTCCAGGTATATGACGTCGGTCTGAAAATAATCGAGTCTAGACCTGACAATCCAGTGATTGATATCATGACCATCGTGCTACACAAATGGGATACGATGACATGCATCAACCAAGTCAGCGAGCCTGACTACCCGATCTCGTCAGTCACCTGTTACGACAAGCATAGTCGCCTGTTACGACAAGCATGGGTTGCTGAAGACCTTTTCTACCCCGGGTCTTCACGGGTCTGGAGCAGGTGGTAAAAAAGAGTGAAATCGTTACCTGATATACTGCTGTGATTTTCGGACATCTAATGGTTGTAAGCACAAAGCTACAAATCCGTCATTAGCCTCTTACGACAAGCATAGTCTCCTGTTACGACAAGCAAGGTTTGCTTAAGATCTATTCCTACCAGGATGTTCACGTTACACATAATATGCAATCCGCAATGTTTTCAAGCTTTTAGAAAATAAATTTTGTAAACATGCGTTTGAAACCGTCTGAAAAATCTGAATACTATAGATGTGTTATTTGTCCTTATCTATAACATCAAACACAGTGCGGTGCCAAAACAGTGGTCTAGGTATTGCAACTATCTTTACAATATTCTTAACTGATCCTATCTCGACGAATCCAAGACGAAGAATTTAGAGGCAGCGGATTGTCTGGCAGATATCTATTAGTTCCCAGGGGCGAAATAAATACACCCACATCTTGGGCGAGAACGCGCTCCCTCCCTCTTTCCCCTACCCCCACGCTGAATCACCTTGAGAAAGAAGATCCGGCACTTCATGGCTGTAAACCCATCTGGCCTGCCAAAATTAGAGGAGGGGCGAAGCCGGTAACCGGGCAAGTCCATTCTCACAAGCAGGTATGCAGGGTAGATGCCAAACTTTGGCTTGTTGCTTAACGTCTCAGTGTTATCACAATGTCATATAAACTCAACCATGCACAGTGGTGTGCTGACACAAAATGTAATTTGATGCAGAAATAAGATGCTTTCATTAACAAATAAAATAACTTAAATATTTTCAACACCCCCATTGTCTAGTTGACCGCTCTAGCCGCACGGTGCCATTCTTTTATCTGACCGGTGCTGTGAGAGGTTCTCCCGACTCTCTGATACTGCTGCCTGCCGTCTCGTAGATAGAAACCTTCGTCAACATGGGACCCAAGGTACGTAGCTTTGTTTCACCATCATATAACCCAGGCCTGTACTTCTACACGGTGTCGCGTTGAACGCGATTCATGTGCTGCAGGGGCATTTAAAGTTAATTCATTAATTCAAGTGTTTGTATTTAAAATTGATTCATTAAGTCAAGTGTTTGTATAGAAAGTTGATTAATTTATTCAAGTGTTTGTACTCGTTGCACTTCTAATTTAGTTTCTGACTCATTTAAAATTTTCACAAATTAACGTTTTGAGAATAATCTTTCTCGGCTATGCTATGCCCTACTTTGTAAAGGAAACTATAAAAAGTGTTTTAAATTTTACCGTTTTATCTGCTTTAAATCAGATCATATTTCCGTAAAATGATATTTCCTCTCCACGTCTCTTTGACGATTATGATAAATATGGCATGGAAAATAGATTTGTTGCTAGGTTACCAGCTTAACATTCAAGTTTTGGCCCCAAGCGCAATCATAGTTGGGGAGAAAACACATATTTATCACATTCTTAACAGACATGTTAATCGAGAACCGCTACAGCATTGGATATTGCCAACTTCAAGTATATTTATATTCAGGGATGTACGGGTGCTCTTTTTACGTTATATGACGTTATCAGTGTAACCTGGTATTACCACTGCCTAGACTCTCGAATCAGCAGTATCTAGTTCAGTACACGCCAACCAACACAAGTTGCGGCATAAACAAGTGAGAGCATATCTCGTGATCCCCCTCACATACTTGCACAGCACGCATCATACCTCGCTGCCAGGCACATCACTTTGCTCACTAAATATCATATCTAGCATGTGGGTGTGAAAAAAACGTCAGTTTGCGCGTGCAGGACTTGACGTTACAATGCGTGGGAGACTGCCAGAGAGGCGTGTTTTTACAATCAGCGTCACAAGATATATTCAGACATGAAGGATTGATCTGCGGGAGTCTTTGGTTTTGGTTAATATGTAATTGTATAAGCATTAGGAAGAATTGATGTGTATGTCAGCAGAGCGTTAGATACCTACGCCCAGCACTTTCCCGTGTGTTCCCAGTTACCTCCCTTGCTGATATATCAAAGTGACATTTTGAAGGCTACGGAGGCTGGAGTCTCGGTGTTGACATTTGGGCGAATAAAACCACAACTGTGTAGATGGTTATAAACAGGTTGGAGCATCGGTATATGTTGAGATGGATGGTGTTATTAAAGGCAGATGATGCGGGTGTCAGGGCTGTTATCGTCAGGGGGCACGGGTGGCCCAGTCGTCTTAGGCGCCGCGATTCGCTGTGCAGAGTTGCGTCCCCTGGACACGCCAGAAACCTATGATTGTGGGTTCGAATCCCGATTCACCCCGATTATGTTTCTAGGTTTGTCAGCACCATACCCGTGCTCGTGGGTTTCACCGAAGTGGTAAACGTCTGAGACCTGCATCACTTCGGGCTTTCCTCCCACATTAGGCTGACACGCCGTGATATAACTGGAATACTGTTAAAAGCGGCGTTAAACCCAACTCACTCACTCACTGTTTATCGTCAGATGATAAGAGTGTTAGGGTTATTACGAGCAGATAATGCGGGTATCAGGGATGGTACAATCGAATGATACGGTATCTTAATACATGTAATTTCTTGTAAACCAACATCATGTTTAATATGTTGCCCTATTCTGCTATTATAAATGAAACCTCAACACTGTACATGCATTAATATAAAGTGTACAGGTTATAACAGACACTCGTCCTGATGTACCACAGACAGGATCACAATGGTTCCTAGCCCTTCTTAACTTTTCACCTTTCATTTAAAAGGGCTTAAGGGTAGCCTCTTGGGTAATGCGTTCGTTCGTCACGCAGAAGGCAGGGTTCGATTTTCTACATGGTACAATGTATGAAGCCCATTCTAGGTGTACCACGCCGTGATATTGCAGGAATATTGCTAAAATATATACCGGTATATGGTCTCTCGCTCTATCATCTGCGTGTTTGGTATTTCGCTGACCGCTGTCACTATAACACCATCTGACGGATATCTTTCACACCTCCTGAGTTAATGACCATCTCCCGCCGCTTGACGTTCAACAGCTGACTGGTACCAGTGACCTTGGCAACCAGTTATCTCCCTTGTGATGGTATTTCCAGAACCATGAACTTAGGCGTGGTATGTTTACGTGGTATTTATGAGCAGCAGATAAGTGAACGATGGACACAAGTGACCATTAGTGAAGTTAATGGCCAGTCTATGCCACAACTAGTGTTTGAGTTACCAACACAGGCTGCTGATGGAAATTACATAGACTCCTGTAGTTAAAGTAATCTTATCGCTGTCAGGATGGTTGGTACACTGGATTCCGGAGTGATAGAAATATGTCCAAATGACCGAGCAATAGACTGGACAAGTCCAATAGCCAGAACTGATAATCGTCTAGAGTCAGCGCACACATTCCAACAGACTGGGCGCCTGTCTACATTTTTTTCCCACCCTGATGGCCACGGTGCCAGTTTGAGTTTCCATTAGGTGTAGCCATAGCGATAGCCAGCATCGGGTGACCACGCGCTGACCATTCTGCTAATGTAGACTGACCAGACGTCTCGCAAGAGTAATCATCGCTCAGTGCAGATTGTATTCAAAGGTTCGTGTTGTAATTAGTACACCCCAAGAAACATCAAAACGGATATATTTATCACTGCGTATGATACCAAGACGCAACTCTACTCATTTTATCTGTGTAGAGATATCAAATCCCGCGGAATGAGGGAACGCCAGTAACCTACACTCGACCTTGTACCATCAACACATTATTCATATAGCTGTATCACCACCCGTTGCCATGGGGATAGAATATATCCCAGCGACCATGGGGAGACGAAGTGAATCGGGTGGTCAGTCTCCGTAACTTTGTTCATGACGAGTCATCGTGCCACGACGGCATCTCATATCATCCCCATCCACTGAACCACATAAACTAAGACACCGCGGGAAAATAGGAGACAAATTCGAAATTAAACCATATCTAAAAGTAACCACCTCATTAGAACACCGCGAAGCAGGTACAAGGTTAAGACTCAGCGCCCACGGCTTTCAAAGTGGGAGAAGAAGATACTCAAACACCCCATCAGCAGGAAGAATATGTACCTTCTGTGATATAAACGAAAAGATAAGGAACACTTTTTGTTGCAATGCCCCCTCTACAAAGATCTGAGACTGGAACTAAAATCATCACCCGCCTTAGCCATGCACCCAATATCACTTAAAATACAACTAAATCACCTTCAGCTTCTTCTTCTTCTTCTCCTTCTTCTTCTTCTATCATGAGCCCAGTCGGTAAAGTCTCTTCCCTACGTATCAGTCAGACTACTACTTTCTCATCACTCCCTGTACCGTGCGTCAGTGTAGTCTCTTCCCGATACAAATACATCCACTACAACCCAAGCAAGTCTATAATGTTTGGCAAGTCTAGATTACTGCAGTATCTGAAGAGAGTCTCTGGGCTCCTTTTGATTATATTTTTATTAAGACAACTTTTTTTTTCTGTAAGATATGTTCATTTCGGAGACTAGGTGTCAGTCTAAGTCTCTTCCCTACGCATCAGACTGTAGAACGTCCTCATCACTCCCCGTACCGTGCGTCACATAACATCACTGTAGCTGCTCCAGATCCGTGTCCTCCATTCAGAATCGTGCTTCACACTATAAGTCCCGGTGTGTAACTACACATTACTGCGTATGATTACCCACTCTTGGGCTATTAGCTCCGCTTCATTATCCGTGATATATACGCACTTATACCTAGTCGTATTTATGTTTGAGGTTTTAGGGTTAACAGACACCACGTGGCTGGAATGTAGCGTCTGGCTCCCTAAGTACCGATAAGTGGTTGGATCTGGGATAAGTAGCACGATATATACAACTCAATTACTATCACCACTGCCTCACCAGTTACTCACGCTTCAATCAATAGTGACACATCTTATACAACAGTATGTATGTTGCTGCTACTACTACTGCTACTACTACTACTACTACTACTACTGCTGCTGCTGCTACTACTACTACTACTACTACTACTACTACTACTACTGACTAACTGACAAACTTTCAACTATGGGCCACAACAAGGTGAACTAGTCAATGTAGTTCATTGTCTGAGTAGTTCATTGAAAGTGTATTTGGTCTGTTGATGCCGTTTGTATATTAGTGACAGCCTGTTGAACGTGATAGGGGTCCAAATGGACACAGAAATGGACAAGAACGAGTATTGAATTAGAAAGCTTCACTAGCTTCACTCCTACAGTTACTGACACTGCTGCTGTTCCCCTACCTGAAGTTTGTAACTGCTGTGTTGGTTCACCACATCTACCACTACACAACCATTATCTGGTCTTGCACCATGACTGTGGAATATATTTATTTTATGAATAATAAACTATGAATATCTAGAAACGCATAGAAAAGCAAGTCTAGCCATATCTAGCTAGCTCTCATGAAAACAGCATTGGGAATTTTAAAAATTATTTTCAGTCAAGAAGGTTATTGTGTAATATAAGATTTCATAGACTAAATGTTAGTCTAACCTTTATCACTAAATCCCTTTTACCAACCACAAATGGGTATATACAACCCTATAACTACAACATTCTTCTACAACCGCTACAACCATAGCTACAACTGTCCCTGGTATTGAGATGGAAACAATCCACACCACCCTTCCATGTTTTAATTACTCATTGACCCGACAGACAGATTCTTCTGTTGCTAACCGTTGTCAGGGCAACTAATGACGCCAGCAGTTGAAATAACAGAGTCCAAAACATGCAGGGTGTTAAAATCTCTGGCATATTTGAACCATGTTCAACCTTCCTCTAAAAGTCCATCTCCCTTACAAGGCTGTCGAGGTTCATTACCTCTGAGAATGCAGACAACGCCTCAACTACCAGACCCAGCTGATTGAGCCAATTAGACAGACCTAATTAGTACACGTCTCAGTCTATTAGTATCTGGCGTATCAGTGCTGGAA